ATCAGCTTCCTGTCATATCTCAAATGGATTTCTGTAATAAATATGACACTGAAATGACTAGATGAGCTTTGTAGTGAGGGTGGTTAGTATCAAACTTATCATTTTAAAATTTTCTTTAGAGCCAAAGTGGACCTAGTTATTATCCCTATTTAGAAATCACTTAGCACAAATCTCTCATTTTGAAGATTAGAAAACTGCGAAAGCTCCAGAAAGCCTAAATAACTTATCTAAGTTCACAGAGATAGTTTTGTGAAAAACTAAAAGTGTTCTTTTGTCCAAATGCAAACCAAACAAAAACATGACATTCAAAATGGCATTACAGAACATTAAAGGTTTCTAAATATTTGAGTAACATTAAGGGCAAAGCCTTAGTGGAGTGTCTATATTAACAAGCCTTGAAATGCCATCTCTAAAATGGAAAGTAATTTTGTACAGAAATAACTTATTTTATGCCCTTTTGGGCTAACATTTTTCTTCCATCAAATGTGGCTGTGATTAAGAGCATATAAGCAAAATGCATGTAATAAAAATATTTACATACATATGAAATAAGCACAGTGATTCCCAGGCAAGAAACAAAGTACTCCATCTGTTTCTTTGTATCACTATAATTTATATATTTTCTTAAGCAAACAGAATCACAAATAATGGTTCTGAAGCATGGACTTGTTCTTAAATAGATTTGTTTTCCAAGATTTTTTTTTTTTGGTTATAAAATGCGTCACCGTTTTGAAAAAAAGATCGCATGTACTTCTACAACTTTATATTAGGCTCAAGAGACATATTGACTGTGCAAACTTTAAATTACTTTTAATTTCATATTTCCCTGAGGCACTTTTCAGGTTGGTTCTATCTTCACAGAATGATTTAAAAAAAAATAGATTTCTATTCTTAATGTCATTATGTTCAGTAATCAAACTGTAATATCTAAAGAATAAAGAGGATGAAGAGGTTTTAGGTTAACACTGTCTCTCAAAGTGAGGCCTCTCTGTGCTTACTTTTCAAATGCATATCCACCATGTTAAATCTTAAACCAAAAAGTAAGCCTACTTCCATATACGTAGAACCTAAAAATCAAGGTAGACATATATGGAAAACACACAAAATAATATATATTGTCTGTTTGTTTTACTTAATATTGGGTTTTTATGAAATATATAATATGTATGTCTATATAAATTTGTGTATATGAGGGAGGTATACGTACACTTGTACATACATATGCATGTATATTTATTATGTACACATGCACGTGCATATATATATGTACACATGTTATATATGTATGAACACATGTATATGTATACAGACCTATAGGACATTATCAAATTTAAGGTTTAAATAGTTCATAACTCATAAATGCTATTTAGGTACTAAGCACTCCTTTAAGATTTATAGCTCAAATCTTTATGAATACCTAGCATATGAATACCTAGCAATTCCTATAAAGTCCTTGGTAGTCCTATGTTTCATTTTGAGAAGCATCAGACCAAAAATCTATAACATACTATAGATATACCAGAAGCGATCTGTAATTGGCATTTAGAAGCAAATTTCAGTCAACAAGCGTTTATTAAATGCCTACTGTGTGCCAGGCACTGTGCTAAGTGCTAGGCTAGGGAAACAAAAGCTTGCCATAAATAGTCCCTGCTCCCAAGGAGCTCACAGTCTAAAGGAGGTGGGACTATATAAATAACTATGTACAAACAAAATATATACAGGATAAATTGGAGATAATTAACAAACAGAAGGCAGTAGCATTAAGAGGAATTATATACTTGGAAAAGCTTTCATCGCTCTATCCTCTTAGCTTCTCTGACTTCCTTCAAAAACTCAGCTCAAATCCCACCTCTCCAATAGATCCTTCAAGGCAACAAGCATTTATTAAACATTAAACTGTCAGGCACTGTACTAAACACTGGGAATAGAAAGACTGCCCACAAGTAGTTGTTGCTTTGAAGGAGCTCAGAGTAAATTTGTATTTCAACTCTATTTCATATTGGACACAGGTTGCCTTCTCAAACATAATATATGCCATTTTTGTGACAGAATCACAAAATAGGGGAGAAAGTGAAAATAATTGTGTAGAATTGTATGCTCTGGTTATCCTCAACTTGAATGCATCTGATGTTAAATTCTGTATACTAATGGTGTTCTTCATACCTACAGTACAAGCTTAATTTTTAACTTGAGATTTTCCCAAGCAGTGTGCACTCAATTTAACAAATTCACATGGAAAAATAGAAGCTCCTGGAAGGTTACTGTTTGATTTAGTGTTTATTTTTCCCCCAGCTCTTAGAATAGTGTTTTACACATAATGATAATAAAAACTAGCATTTTTGTAGCATTTGAATGTTTGAAAAGACTATATCTATTATTTCACAACTCTGTGAATAAGTATAATAGGCAGGATTATCCCAATTTCAGATAGAGAAACTGAGGCATGGAGAAATTAAGTTAACTTGCTTATCATCATATAGCTAGCACATGTGAGAGGTGTAATTTTAACACAAATTTTATTGACTGAAAGTCTCCTGCCTGTAGTCAGTTTCTAGATCTTTGCATTGCCTACCTCATATCTGGGATAGCACTACCTTCTCACCTCTATCTCAGGGAATACCTCTTTTCCTTTAAGATGCAGCCCTTAAAGTCTTTTGTAAAACCCTCAAGGGCTACTGTCCTTTCTTTCAAACTACCTTGAACTACTTTGTATAGTCTTTTTGAAATTTATTTTGTATATATTTTTATATAGCTCTATCATCTATGTTTATATCTATATCATCTACAGCTATTTATATATCTTTGGTGTCTCCCATTAGAATATAATGTGACTGGAGATTGTTTCATGAATTTTATTTGTAAGCCTGCCACCTAGCATTATGCTCATCACATAGGACATGCTTAATAAAGACTTATTGATTAATGGATTGATAGTAGCAATTTAATGTGTTTATTGACTCTGAAGACTCTGCCCATAAACAGAGGTAATTTCAGTTGTTTCTTGAAGCCTTTCAAATCCAAGCATACCTTTTAAAATGTATAGCAATGCTGAGAGGAGAGAAGAGACTAGAATTGTGAAATGATGCACATTTGTCTACGTGATGAATGAAAATAACATTTTTTTTTCTTTTTAAGGTGTAGGCCTAACTTAGGGAGAGTTGGGTAGAGAAACAAAGAAGCCCTTAGGGAAGTCAGGGGATGAAAAAGTTTGAGATCTACTGTCCTAGACTAATTCTTTTAGTCAAATAATGTATGTAATGTGTCTGATTAATGGTACCAGTTGCATAAATTTCCTTGAGGTCAGAAACCTACATCCTAGAAATGTAGCTTTGAAAATGTAGAAATAATAGAGGTTCAAATGATTCCATTTCAGATAGTCCTTTCTTGCCCAATGTGGAGGTGTAATTCAGTACTTTGATGGGGACACTGAAGTGTGAGAATGCTTTACTGTTCTAGTAAGTTCTTTACTGTTCTAGTAAGGATGATGATCTTGAATTTTGTTATCATCCACACATTACCCTGGCCACTAGTCCACTTAATCAGGAGTGAGGACCCTGCATCCTCGAGGCTACATGTGGCCCTCTGGGTCCTCAGGTGCAGTCCCTTGACTGAATCCAGACTTCACAGAACAAACCCCTTAATAAAAGGATGTATTCTGTAAAGCTTAGATTAGATGTGGATCAAGGCCACATGTGGCCTTGTGGCTGCAGGTTCCCTACCCCTATTAAAGGCAGAGAGGGTCTTAAAGAATATCTAGCTCAACGCCACCTTCACATTTTATAGATGAAGGAAATAGCTCAGAAAAGTCAAGGTATCCCTTTCCTGGAAGACAGTCCAGTTCTCTTTCCTCTGTATTACACCATTTACCTGATAGAAAAGAATATTTTTGTTGAAAATTGATTCTTGAACCTACTATAGTCTTATTGTTTGAAAACGGATATAATCAGTCGATTGTATATATTCATTTAACCTATAACTTTGAAGTTTGAGAGACAGCATGGTGTAGTGGATATTGCTGGCCTAGGAATCAGAAATCTTGGGGTTCAATTCCTTCCTCCGAAACACACTGGATCTGTGACCCTATAACCTCTTAGTGTTCTCAGGCAATACTCCTAAGGTTAGTGTTTTTCAAAGTGTCCTACTGGGAAACCAAACAAACTCCAAATTCCCCTCCTTCTCCTCCTCCCCCTCCTCTTCTTCCCTCCCCCTCTTTCCTTCTTTTCCTCCCCCCCTCCTTCCTTCTCCTCCTCCTTCCCCCAATTCTTCTTTTTCTTCGTCTTCCCTTATGCTGTCTGTTAATAGGTATTAAAATAATCATTTTAAAAGATTTTAGTGTAAGAGTTCTATTAAAGTTTTATTGGAATGGAAGAATTCTACTGCTGTAGGCAAAATTGAGAACCACTGTTCTAAGATTATGAAGTTCCTGATCTTTACTTGGAGAGGAAGTTCCTAACTGGTAGCTTCATACATAGTTAAAATCAAAGACCCAATTTAGAGAAAAATGTTAAGCTATTTGAATAAATAATTATCGTGTGTGTGTGTGTGTGTGTGTGTGTGTGTGTGTGTGTGTGTGTGCGTGCATGCGTGTGCATTAAAGTATTCAAGGCACAAGACAATGACCTAAGTACCATAGCTCACCTTGTGGCAGCAGAGAGTACCTAAGAGGATATAAATAATATTTCAACTGCAGGATTTATACACCTCATCTTATAACATGATGGCAAAAGTCACAGGTCCAGAGAAGGAAAAACAATACAACTATTTGAATCTGCAAATAGCATTGGCTTTAGAGCCCTCAGATATCTTTAATGTTACTCCACCCATAAATGCAAAGGGAAGGAGTGCACACTAATATCTACTTACAAAATATTATTGAACAAATGTTAAAAATAATAAATAAATAAGTTTTAAGAATATTAAAAAATGTATTATTGGAGAAGTCAAGGTAGGTCTATCCAAAAACTGAAACTTATGTATACTTTTTTCCCCCTGGTTCTCAGACAGCTCAACTCTTTCAAGCCAGAGGAGTAGTTTCCCGACTTCATTTTGGACCAGCTCTTACCAGCCCCCACCTCGGCCCTGTTTAAGTGGAGTTCACCCTGACTTCTCAGTCACTGCACCAGGCACCTTTGCAGCAGCTGATCCTGGTCCCTGGCCAGGACACAATTTGCATCAGACTGCCCCTCCCCCACCCCCTTCCGTGTCAGAGTCCTGGCACTATCCACTGACATCTCAGGTGAGCTCATCATACACACACATGCATGATGTGTACATGCATCACCATCATCCCCACCCACACATGCACCACCGCCACCATCACCACCCTTCTGCCAGCTCCCATTTGGATCCTCGGTATGGCTCTTTTCTGATGCCATCAGTTCGTACAGCCAGGATTCCTGCTCCTCAGTGTGACATTACAAAGACAGATCCTACTACTGTCACCACTGCTACCTCAGCATGGGCTGGAGCCTTTCATGGAACAGTGGATATTGTGCCAAGTTTTGGGTTTGATTCAGGTAAGACAGTTTTTTTTTTCCCTTCTAGCTAGGAAGTGTGTAAGGGGGAAAAAAAACAATTTAAAAGAATATTGTGGAGTACTTCTCTCTCACCATATGTTCCATATGTATGTATTAAACTATGCCAATTTATTTTTAAATATCTACACCCTTCCCTCCAGAAGAATTCTTTTATTCCTTGAGGAATTTGTGTTGTGAGCAAGCTTGTGGTGATATGATTTTAAAAAGATAATGTTTGCTGTCATTCCTTTATACAAATAATCTGACACTTTGAATTTCTAGTGCCTTGCTGGAATTTCTAGATGGCTTATAGTTATATAGTATTGAAAACCCTTCTATCTTCATATGATTCTGTACCAAGTGTTTTCTACAGGTTATTCAGAGGTGATAATGGATACAATATGTTAAACATTCAGCAATTGTTAGATTCTCCTTTTCTTGTGACTTCTGTATTCATTTCAGCAAATGGAGACCTTATTCATTATATGTAAACACAATGTTTGTATAACACAGTCTACTGTCCTAAAAAGGGACAGAAAACACATTTGAGAAGGAGTGAATTTGTTTTCTAATCTCATCTTCTCTGCTGTCCTTTGCCTCTCCATTTCTGCCCATACTTCCTTTTCTATCTTCTCCACTTTCTTTTCTTTCCCTTCTCTTTTCTAACACCAGCCCTGAGGGTACTTGCCATTGAGTCATTTCAGTCGTGTCTGACTCTTCATAACCCCATTTGAGGTTTTCTTGGCAAAGGTACTGGAGTAGCCATTTCCTTCTCCAGCTCATTTTTATAGATGAGGAAACTGAGGCAAACAGTTAAGTGATTTGCTCAAAGTCACACAACTGGTAAGTGCCTGAGGCCAAATTTGAACTCAGGAGAATGAGTCTGACTGTAGGCCTGGTACTCTATCCGCTATATCATATGAAAGAGGTCAATGAACTTTATAACCAACACTTAGAAAAAAACTAAAGAGAACAAACACTTCTTCACATAATGTCAGTTTTTAATTTTGTGAACTTGGAATCACAGCTCAAAGGGATTGAAAAGATAAATCAAGTTGGTAGATCATCCTCTGGGTCTATGTTTTCTTGAGCTTACTTTTCCTATACATCAACAGTCAGCAAGCACTTGTTCTGTGCTTACAATGTTCTGGGCAGTATGTTAAGTATTGAGAATTCAAAAAAAGACAAAAATAGCTCCTTGCAAATAACTATGCATACGGAAGATTAAAAGATACACATGCACACCCGTATACACACACACACAGAAAAGGCTTTTAGAAGGAGATGAGATTTTTAGTTGAGACTTGAAGAATTACCCAGGAGGCAGAGGTAAGATAGGAAAATATTTCAGGCATGAGGGACAGCTAATGACAACCTATGGAGTGTTTTGTGCAAAGACTAGCAAAGAGGTCAGTGGTATCACTTGATGCTAGAGGGAAGGATTAAAGTATAAGAAGACTAGAAAGGTAGGTAGGGGTCAGGTTGTGAAGGGCTTTGAAAGTGAAATGGGATTTTATATTTGATACTGGACATAATAGTTTCTGATGCATTAGAAATTAATTTTCAAAATCTGAAGAAACTTTCCATTTTTTAAACTACTATGTACTCCTCTTAATTTTTTTTGCAACTTGGATAGGCAGTTCATCAAACCCATCACTGGTTCTCCAATTACATATTCTCTGACAAGTTGTTTTCATTATTACATGTGCATTTGTTAATCTCATCACTCCAGTCTCTAATGTGTTAACCTGTAACATAGTTGGGCAGGTTTCAGTTTCCTATTGACTATGTGACTTTCACTGAACTTTTCCAAGACAAATATGACTAGGATGAATTGTCTCTACTGAGATTGAGAACAGTAGGATAGGAAGGAGGGTTAAGATGGATTGCATGAGTTTGTGAAGAGGTTGCTATTCCTATTGATCCATTGATCCTATTGGCTATGAGCGTAAGGACCAGATCTGACGGAATTCTCTTGACTGTTCTTGCAACCATCACAAACATCCCTTCCTTAACAATTTGCTGAGACGTGCTTTCCCAGTGCCTCTTTGGCTTACATCAAAGAAGGAAATCTCTCAAGAAACCTAGATTTTAGATAAAACTGAGAGTAAAATTAGCCATGAATAATTTCCTTTTTTCCCTGCTCTATGATACAAGGAAGAAAATCAAGTATATATTTTTTTCTTCCCTCCATTTCTTCGTTCCTTCCTGTCTTTCTTCCTATCTTTTTATAAGGCAGAGTACCCATGCTTTGTCAGGTAATGTACTACAGTGCAAAGAATTAGAGGATCCATGTTCAAATCCCACCTTTGACACTACTGATCTTTGTGACCATGGGCAAGTCACTCAGGCTCCTTGAACATCAGTTTCCTTAAATGTAAAATGAGAGGGTTAGATTAGATATCTTCTGAGGTCTCTTCCAGCTCCAAATTTTTCTTTCTATGATGTCTAACTTTGAATTTTGTCTTGCATAGTATCATGCCTTGTCATTGTATATGAAAAAATAAATATTGGCTTGATTAGTTGATCTATGTTTGAGATATCAGATTTGTTATAAAAACCTGGAGAAGATTTCTCCATGACTTTATGGGAGGGTGTGAGAATTTATCTTCCAATGACCATAGGAATAGTTAGAGAAATGGATTCTATTTTCTTTCACCTAATAATTTCTGTTTTATATGAAACTAGCAGTGGGCAATAGGACTATATAATGAATTGATTGAATGGCATGCACATATATGCTATATATTCATATCACATACATGTATGTATGTATGTATGTATGTATGTATAAAACATCAATGGTTTACTTACATTGAGGGTAAAGGGAAATTGTAAATGGCAAGAAGGCACCCTGATGTACACTTAGAAAATAAGATTTCCCTCAGCACATTCATATAATGCTATCAGGTAATGCTTGACATTGACTGTCTATAATCCCAGAAAGAGGGGCCCAAATGAAGGCCTGACTAGGGATGAAAAAAGCTCCCAAAAGGCAGTCGAAAGGCAAGCCGCTGATACTTATTTGAGACAAGCACAACTTTTTCAAGGTTCATTTGCTGAACATTTATTAAGCATATGAGGTGCAGAGGGAAAGAGAAAGATGGTAAATAAGATCAAGTCCCTGCCAAGATGGTTAGAAACTATGCTGCTAAAACAGATAAAATATGCCTAGAATTTTGTACACATTTTTTCCAATATAATGCTGGGATACAGGCACTCTGATTATGATAATGTTGTTCAGTCGTTTTCAGTTGTGTCTGACTCTTTGTGATCTCTTTTGGAGTTTTCTTGGCAAAGATACTAGAGTGGTTTACTATTTCCTTCTCCAGCTAATTTTACAAATGAAGAAACTGAGGCAAACAGTTAAGTGACTTGCCCAGGCTCACACAACTAGTAAGTATCTGAGGCCAGATTTGAATTTAGGAAAACGAGTCTTCCTAACTTCAGACCTGGCACTTTATCCACTGCACCACTTAGCTCATATATTAACATAGCACTTTAATATTTATGTTGTCATTAGTTAGCATCATATTATTCATACTCATTTATATTTTTATTATTTTTGTATTTATATCATACTGTCATCTCATTTTAAAGATTAAAAGCTATAGCCCAAAGAAATTAAATCAACTGTTCATGGTCACACAATCAGTAAGTTTCAAAGACAGTACTCAGATACGGAGCTTTTGTGGACCCAAGTCCGCAGATTGTTTCATTCTACCATGTTGCCTCGTATGTTTCGCACTACTTGTGTGCAATCAGCCTAATGTGGTGGCAAAATAATAATGGTTTTCTGGGAAGACTCTTTGCCCTCTGTACTATCCACTTTCTTTAAAGTTACATCTCTTTAGTTTGAGAATTTGATCCTTATTAAATTTACAGAGACCTCTTAGACGAATGATGGTTTATGTTCTTCATCATTCCTTCATGTGTTGGTGCAAATGAAGAATCTAAAAGCCAATTTAAAGAAGAGCAAAGAGGTGTTGGGCAGGGGTAGTAAAGACTAGAGGTGGTGCAAAAGAGAGACTTTTCTGAGCTTCACAAGATCGTAAATTTAGAACTGGAAGGAAAGTTAGTGGGAATCTCGTCCAACCTTTTCATTTTACAAATTAAGCAACTGGGATCTAGATAGGATAGATGATCTGCCTAAAATCAAACAGGTATTATGGATAAGAGCATGGATTTGGATCCTACTACTTTGTCTCCAAACCTAAACACTTTTTCCATTGTACCAAGCTGCTCCTTAGTTTAACATAGCACACTATATTTTCTCTGAGTGTGATGTAATATATATTATGGAAAGAGTAGAACTGAATATATGTCTCCCAGATTATGAATAAAGATATTTAATAAACCTGACCTACACTCAACCTTAAGGAGACTTGAATAGACAGTTTTCTTCAGTGAAATGTAATGATATTCTTATTGATTTTTATTGCCTTTCCGTTATCTAGTGTTAGCCATGTAGTGGCTCACATCCAAGACACTTTTAATGAATTTTTCAAGTAATTTTTCAAGATTTTTTAATGAAGTTTCTAACTTCTGAAATGCAAACTATTTTTCTTTTACAGCTTCCCCTTCTTCCACTACTTTTAATTATGAACCAAGAGCAAGGGCAGTCATTCATTATGTGATTTTTTTCTTTGTAAACACAAGCTGTTCATTGCTCAAGATTCCATTTTCATCTAGAAAGACACAGATTTATTTTTCTTATGTTATTTTAGCAACAGTCAGGTTATTCATTCCCTTTCCCCCATATTTCTGGGATGCCTGCATCCCCCAGTAAAGAAAAAAATGAAAACATTGTCTAAATGACATATCATGTTCCAGTGTACAAATCATTGTTTTTTAGACACTTCCTATTTAGGGCACTCATGCCAAAAAGAGAACCATATTGTCACCTATTATCAAGTTAAAGAGCTATGAATTTAAAAAGGCTAGAGATAAATTAGAATGTATTTCTATTTCTGCTGACTCTTCATGAATTGTATCTTCAG